TCTAAACGTTAGCCGAATAGATTTGCTTATTAATTTCGTGTTAGCTTATCAGTGAAATAATACTACTAAATCACTCATTTCTTGAAATATAGTCTTTGTCGACTTCGAAAACATTTCCACTTCTACTCTACTTGTATCGGAGAAAACATTTTGTAGTATTGTAGTTACCAATTTCTTTCTGGGGATAGCGCAGTGGTTAGTGATGCCGTCGATCAGGAAGCAAAGGTTCGATCCCCGCCCCACCATCCTCCTCCCATCCGCTCGGTAACACCTTAGTCCGGCTATCTCCAAAATTTCAAAGAGAATCGACTCGACCAGCATTCTACGATATTCACAAGGAAGACGAAATCCTCAAGCAGCAGCTGAAACAATACGCGAAATGTTCGAAGACCATTGTGAAATGCGATGAAAAACGAATCGAATGCAAGAAGTGCTGGAATCCGCACAGTAGATGTGATAAGGGGTGATGTAAAAAGGTTTCTTGTTAGCTAGGTAGCAGCACCTCATGACACTAAACAACCGGACTTATACTTTTGCATTCGGCACTTTTCAAAGAAACACCAGGATATAAGCAGAGATGTTGTTTGAGGATAGTAAAAGCTTTAAAAATCGGGATGACGTAGTGCCATGCAGCACGGAAAAAAACTTAAAGGTCCTGTACCTTATATATACTTATATGGATAAGATACGTCCGCTCAGTCTCCTTCAGTTGTTTGGGGATCTACTTTGCACCGTGAGGGATAGCATTGCCTCACAAACGCAAACACTGTCTTTCAGGTCGTTTTTTCTTTATAGTAGTATCGTGCTTGCAAAACTTTTTTCAACGGTTGGGATAGAGCACTTACCTCCCGGAAATTTTAAGAAGACTTCGAGTCACAGAAGGCGGACAATATCGGTCGGTTGGCGACCATGTGAACCAGGTATTGCCTAGGTTGGAGGGTCAAGCTTGTAGAGGAAAAGATGGAGCTACCATTTCTATCCACGATCTCTACTTTTCTCAAAGAGTTTTGCCGTTCGGTGATATATTCAGGAGAGCGGGAGATATTCACAGATGTTGACTTGCACGATTAGGTCGTGGTCGGAGCGACTATCAATATCTTATGATGTGGTAGCACATTGGATTTTAGATGCCAATAGATAGTGACACATACGAAAGTGAGTATCCTCTTCAGCTGCAGTATCGGATCCAGCGCAGAATGTCTCCCTCAAATATGATTGTTCTTCCTTATCGAGGTAAGTCCTCGTAACCAGTGTCACTCTGGCCGAAGCACATTAAATTTGTCGATTGTCCATTACAATTCAACATTTCTCAGCTGGATGGGCACATGGTGTTTCCTGGTATAAAAATGTCTAAAACATAATGCTAAATGGAACAAATTACTCTGAACATGAAAAAAGGATTTATCGCTAAAAGTCCGCAAGGTATTGTGCCCAACCTAGTACTTTCTAAGGAAATAAAGAAGAGTTCTTTATCAATAAGACCGAATGGATTGATCAGTACTCCAAAATTCGAGCGTCTTTACGCTTTATTTTCTCCGTTGTTGAGTGTTCTGATAAATGAACACACGCAAAAAATTAAAGGATAGAGCTCTCAGGCTTTGATCAATCGCCGAGGGATGCGCCATGCATTCGACTTCATTAACCATGTTAGAGGTAATTGAATATATATCTGGCCTTTACAAGAAATGCGGTGGCCTAACGATGTATCAAGCCAATGGTGCTATTTTCCTAGACAGGTATGGTACCAATTTTTCGACCCTGGAGAGATGAAGGGCTTAGTGAGCCATGGGCGCGGGGATCGATTCTACGTATGTGTTGCTGGGCGCCATACCCGCCTATTGCCTGCCCCATAAACATGCATACATAGATAATTTTTACGTTGTGCTGAATACGGGAAAAGAAATTGCATTCAGTGCATATGTTGCAGGTGTTCGTTTGGTCAACTAAACATGGCAAAAAAGTAAAGTGACTAGCAGTGCTTCAGCATTGCTTACGTCCGAATTATCTCTGTGATGAATCTGAAAGGTGGTTTGTGTTTGCTAATTCGTCCACTTCTTATGCTGGTGATCAAAAACTACGTTTGAGTTCTCCACTGTTATTAACCATAATTGGCAGCTAGTCAGTAATCGTGCGAAGCTGGAAATGTGCGCTCTGGTTGTGCTTTCATGATGGCAAAGCTCAAGATCTACAGAATCATAACATCCATGATTGACGTCATTTGTTGAAAAATAATGGCGGAAATGAGAAGAAAAAGAAACAAAGCGGAACTACGATAAGAAAACTTCGAGAAAAAAATCCTATAATTCAATCGACAAGGCATCGCCACTTTATTGACGCCTAATTTTTCGGCGCGCTGGCCATGAATTGCTATTAATTCGCACTGTCCCAACTGCCTCCTCATGGATGGTTGGAAATCTATTTGTGTTAGACGACAATTATTAATTATATTACCCTTGGACCAGCCAGCTTTCTTCTCGAAGTTTATGGAAATCGCTTCTGTAAAATAAATATTGGACGTGTTACAAAAAAACCCTTAGATAAGAGATGACTCTAAGTGATGAATTTAAATGCAAATGCTCTGCACCAGTAATAGAGACCAGTAATAAGAGACCGCCCATTTATAACAACCACCATATATTCGACTTGCTGTGTTGTGGTGGTTTCTTACCACCTTAATTTAACACATTCATATGAACGAGCTTTTACTTAAGAGCGCATGTGATGGAAAATAATGACGGCTGTCAACTTCAGGCGATCATGCCTCAGACGAGCTTCAAAAATCTTCCTTTTCATTTTTTTTTCTAAAGCTAAAGCACGGTGTCTCTATTCTTGCATTGAAGTCGACAGTAACAAATCTGTAGAATAATTTCTCATTATGGTCGAGCTCCTGGATGTTTTCGAGAAACGTACCAAATTCCGTATTGTCAGGTATCTACATTGCTAAGCAGAAAGTAGTGGTACAGGTTTTTTCCTGATGAAGAACTGTAAGGCGTTGCATAGCAAAGCACTTAAACAAAATTTAATGGCGATTAACAAGTTTAATAACGGATAGGTACAAGATATTGTTACGGTCGTCATCATTAAGCGATGGAACTTTCTCATCCAAACGATAAGAATTCCATCATCAATCTACCGGATAAGGTCCTTATTTCTCATCGTTTCTTCAGTGATAATCTCTCTTTAAATTTGACAAGATCTGCAGCATATAGAAGGTCACGAAGCTTGTGCTATGAAGAAGGCGATCTGGCCTTGTACGTTATAGCAACAAACGTTCTCCATAGTGCACAATGGGTCACTTTAGATCCTCTATTACCTTTTTTTGCTATGTAAAATGATGATCGATAGTGGATTTCACAGGAATCCCAAAATAGTTGGGCCAGAGTGTTCTCACAATCGAATAAATTATTTCCATCCCGAAAAATACAGAAAGCAGTCGAAATTTAAAGAATTTCCACGTCCTCACGGAATGTATAATCGTGGGAAAGGCGCCATTTTTTACACACCATATCTTCTAAATTTTAAAATAAGCGAGCTAGTGCGTTCTGTTGGCTCTAAAGCGAAAGAAAATAAGGACCATTAAGTAATCTTCTCTGAAAAATGATTTTTTAATGGTTTGCTTAAATGTGATGTTCACAAATCTATTTTTCACAGAGCTACTAGAGGGCATTTGGCTGGTATATCTTGAGAGAAATCCTCCTGGCAGCTCTACCAACTCTTCTGAAGTTCACTTACCTTTTTCCCTCTTTAATTTGCTTTTTCATTTCCATCAAGAATTGCTTTACACTTTGTCAGGCTTACATAGTAGGATTCAAGACACAAAGGATCACATGGAGAAGCAATGATTTCTCTTCGGCGGAAAAAGTGTATCTCGTGAAGGTTACCCGATCCTGGTCGTTTGACTGAGCATCTTGTGTACGATGCACTGTACAACCTCGTGTAAGCTTATCAAGGAGAGAACCATCAACCGTTCTAGAATCTTCGTGAAGAAACCTGAGTATTCAGTCGACAGTTTTCCTGTTGCAGGCTTGATATCCCATGGTAAAGACTAACTTTCAACCACTTAATGTTAAGGAAAACTATAGGAAAACTATATCTCCGACCCAGCTGATCTTTGGCATATTGAAATATTTATTTATATAATCCCAAAATACGGTCACCGAATTCGAGTAAACGCTCCGGTTTGCCTAAAGGCCTACCGAATGCGAGTACCTAGTAGATCTGGTGACCTATGATGGAAGAGTTAAGGTAAATATGGAAACTGTTTGGCGCGATGCCGGTTAGATTATTAGAGTCCTCACCTCCGAAGAACTGATAAGTCAAACAAACAATGGTCCGTTGAGATGTTTTGATGAGTCAAACGTAAATCTAATCACTCATGTGGTGACAGCCATCATCATATCACCTGCACAGTTACTTCGATATAGGCTCACGAAAATGTCGAGGTTAACAAATACGGAGTCATCGAAGAAATTGATTACAGTTTCTAATAAAAGGATAAAGCTCTCGGCGTTGATCAATTCCTCAGGAATACGCCATTCATTCGACTTCACTAAGCATCGTTTGGCGGTAATTGAATATGTATCTGTCCTTTACAGTGACTTGTAGTGGCCTACCAATGTGTCAAGTCAGTGCTGCTATCCTCCTAGACAGGTCTGGTACCAATTTGCCGACCCCGCAGGGACGGAATGGCATGGGGATTGATTCCACGTGCCTGTTGCAAGGCGCCTCCCACCACTACACCATACGCGCCCTCAGTTTGTAATAGCTAGTAAAATTCCAGTTTGGTAATTAGAAAACAGTATTGGTAATTCGTAGTATTGGGGCATTGTAGTATTTATTACCATAGTATGAGTATAGTATTTGGCAAGCTGGTAGAGTATTGGTAAGGGTAACTCGTACCAGAAAAGATTACTTTTATGTCAAACAGTTAAAATTGATCAAGAAAAAAAGGATAATGCAAATGTGCAGTAATTTCGCACTAATTGCGTCGAATAACAGAACTTTTTCCAGATGGTCGGCTTCGAATGTGCCCTCCAGGTGGCAGCAGCTTCACAATGGCCTGGTCGATGGCGTGCACGATGCGAAGAAAGCGACAAGTCACCTACAAGAATTCATTTCGTGAGATCTTAATTCTACCTTCTATCCATAACTATTTATCTCAAAGTCGCCGTTATAAAATCATGAATTATTAAAGGTACCAAAAATGAAATGAAAACCCATTCTCAGGATCATTTTCCTTCAATATACTCATCAGTACTTCATCGCAGATTTCGTCTTAAATTCTACTCACTGTCCACATTAACTCCTCAAAATATAATTTTTGTATCACACCAGATTCTTTCCACTTGGAGCTATCATTATCGGTACACTTTAATTCCCCGCCTATCTCCATAGTCAGTCGACACATGGGAGACTGCATCGGCTGATGACTACGGGTGCATATATATATGGTGATTATAGCTATACAGACTTCAAAAACAATTTTTTTCGTATTTAATCTAAAAACTTCTCAACACCGTGGCAGCAAGACATTCTTGAACGTTCTCCAGCCTCCGGATTCCTTCTCAGAATGATATGTCACTCTATACAGAGGGTATTACCTGACCGTTAATGAAGACTCTCCATCAACTATAAAAGGATAGAACTCTCGCGTTGATCAATCCCTGAGTGATGCGCCATGCATTCGACTTCATCAAGCACCGTTTGGAGGTGATTGAATGCATATCTGGCCTTAACAATGATTCGCGGTGGCACACCGATGTATCGAGTCAGTGCTGCTATTCTCCCAGACAAATCTGGTAGCAATTTGTCGATCCCGAAGGGATGGAAGGCTTGGTGGGCCATGGGCGCGGGGATCTATTCCACGTGCGTGTTGCAGGGCGCCTCCGACCACTGCGCCACACGCGCTCCATCAACCATACCGTTGATGATAAAGTGGTCTTCATTAGTTAACAGATATATTGATTACTTCACAATGATTGCATAGAAGCAAATTTCCCTTCTCCAAAATTAAGATGGATCTCACAATGCAATTCAGCCTATCTAAACATTCAAGGTCTCAGAAAAGCCTCCAATCTCACTCCGATAAAATTGTCGACAACTAGGAGACTTCAGAAAATAATTGCATTTCTGGGTAATTCCGTTTTTTTTCCGAGAGCCAGCACAAGTGAAGCACGGTTCGTGCTGAACAAACGGGTATAGCAAGTAACTCTTTATGGTGCTTTTGGTTCACTCCAAACCGCACATTAGTCCTAGTAGATTTCGAAGAAATCTTTAGACTTACATTTCTAGTGCCTCGTTGGCACAATATCTCATTTGGAACGACGCTGGCCTTCTCATGGACAAACAATGAATCATAAACAGTGGTTTTGTAAACACCACCACGAAATCGCTATTGCAATTTACACAACACTTTGTACATGATGTTTAAACACTGTGAACTGAGCAAAATTGTAGATAAAAGTGCTTGTGGGATGTAAGCAACAAAATCTGTAGCCAGTGTTTTTCTCGAGTTTCAACTCTGACGGCTACAGTTACTAGGCCAGCTATCTTCTTAGAAGACGTTTCAATAGGTAAAAAATTGAAGTAATTTTGCTTTTGAACGCTATGTAAAGCCGGGTTATTGCAGCGAATATGGTCAAAAGAACATTAGAAGCGTCCGTTATTTTAAGCAAATTGTCCGAACTAAAGTTTACAAGTGTTTAACGTTCTAACTTTCCCTACTTCTGCACATCTCTCCCAAATATTTATCACCTCAAAGTGCGTCTAGATGGTGAAATGTGGTCTAGTGTCGGTGCCCATTCCCTCCCAGGAAACCATGAAATAATGTCAGGAATCACCATGATAGTGATAAGTGGACAAAGTGCCTGACGTTGATCAGTTCCTGAATAATGCGCCATTCATCCGCCTTTATTAAGCATCACAGAGATGATTGATTGTATACCTGGCCTGCACAATGACTTGTGGTTCTCCACCGATATACAAGTCCAGTGGTTCTATCCTTCCTGACTAATCCAGCAGCAGATTTCCGACCCCGAAGGGACTGAAGGCTTGGTGATCCTAGGCCCATCGAGCTAAGCTCTCACCCAGTATTTTCCGTAAAGCGGCTCCTATCCACTGCGCTATACGCTCCCCGAATTCTCATGGTATCCAAAGCTTAGTCACAACGCGGCAAACACCAAATCCATTACAGCTAACGATTACCAGTGTTGATGACATAGGAATGCCTTGGCACGACTGCCAGGTGGTTTCAGGGAAAAAAGTCTGTTCCGTTCAGTAAAGCACCGGTTTCAGTATGCCCAGTATGTATATTTAGTCCGTCCGTTTACGATGACAGACAGTGAACAGCAAGCAACCGATATTCAGATCTTGAGCTGCCTCTTGTTATAACCGGATGAGATCCATAGTACACCAATAATCAGTGCAAAGATGCCTTCTTTGACTCATTAGATCGTATACAGGGCTTATTACTACTTGTTGAGGTACATCTCCAGATCCTGTGATGTCTATTGGCACACACCATAATTCCACATCTCGCCATACTACAACGTATAAGTAAATCAACTTCGCATTTTGTTTCAACATTAATTTAATACTTTAACCACATCTCAGATTATAGTAAACGCTACAGTGTGCCAACAAAGTACAACATTCCTGCGTCACCGGGATAACATCTTTTTTTTCTCTCCGAAAATTTAATTCCTCAAACAAATTTGAAATTAGAAAAATATTCTATTACTCTATAAATATGAAATATGTCTTGCGATGAAGTAATCTAAATAGACCGGAGTTATAAAAAATTTAGCGGCCCACTAATCGTTACGGTATAAAACCCAGTTTGTTATCAACGTGAGCGCCGTAGGCGCAGCGTATGTGGTGCCGTTCAATACGCATATTATCGCATTGAGAATGCACACCTTTTCTCATACGGATTATTTTCTGTTGTTTTCCGAAGCCCATACTAAGGAAGAATACCCTCGTGGTTCTGCAGTGAAGACGATGAACGCCGAGTCCAGCTTTCCGTTTTGCATCATTCAGGTTCCTAGTACTGTCGTAAAATTTCCTGCATTCATTCTTACCTATCGCCAAGCTAATCCCTGGTATCAAAGGAGTTAATAAAAGGAGCAAAGCGAAGACTGTATAAATCCCTAATCGTTATAGTGAAAAAAATACCGCCTACACACCCACACAACTACAAAAACGTGGTAAGTCCCAATTTCAAGAGTTGATGAAGCCGACCGAAGGACCAAGTAGCGATGGCGGTTGAACTTCAAAAGTTCCTCTTCACTTGTCTAAATAACGATGAGATCTCGTTCCGCTATGCTTCTCCCATAACCTCTTGTATTCTATTTGCTTCGAGGAGTGTACTACAATGTTCAGAGGTGCCTTTTAATGCAAACTGGTTCGTCTACTGGTTCAACAGTTCGGCCTGAGCTCACCACAAGTTCCATCCCTACGCGTTTCATAAATTGGTACCAAACTTGTCTGGCGAAAAAAGCAGCATTGTACTGATACGTCGCTTTGTCACAGGTCATTAGGTCCATATATTGATTCAATCACCTCTACAATACTTAATAAAGTAGAATACACGGCGTATCCCTCAGGGACATCAACAATGGAAACACTATCTCTTACCCTCATACATGCTTATTGGAGCACATAAGCTAGTCAACATGCATTCTTTCATTGATAAGCTAACACGAAGCCGATAAAAAAAAAGTTAGAAAAAAGTAGATTTGTCAAAAACATCATGCTCTGTGCCAGGATTTATAAAGCTTTTCGTCGTTAAACTACGTAATCAAACACTAAGTCAAGGACTTCTGCCGGAATGTTATGAAAATACTTCAGCGAGCAGGCGGCATAATAGCTCAGCGCTTTACCAAGCACTAAATATGATGAGGTCCGGTGGAACACTAGTCATTCCACAATAGTGAATTCCATAATTCTAAGCTACCAGTTCAGTTTTAGCCCATCGCTTTCAAATTTGCGTCATTTTAGCAAAACGTGCGCTCATCGCTCCGTCTATCCATCAACTACAAATCATATGCTGTGATGTTGGATGCAGTGTGAATGATCTGATGTCATATTGTGGACAGCTGACGGGGTGGTGATATTCTCTACTACCGAGGGAAGACAATGACTGCGATGATCTGATCCGGACTACTTTCAATTTTTTAAAGTTATTTTACATTGTACACCTATCTATTCCCAGGTGCACTTGTCTATCCAACCTCCTCACTGGTCTTTGTCAGCATATTGAAACTTGACAACGCATCTTCATCATAAATTCTTAGAATTATATCCTTTTAAGCGTGACGTCGTAAAATCCCACTGTGAAATATTTGCTACACGTTGTTCTAATTCCATATCACAGAAGAAAATGATTAAGGTAAGTAGTAATTTTAATAGTTTGATGAAACAACCGTTCCATACGCAGTTCTTGACTCAGCAGCAACTCATGCTAGCAATATTCTCCATACCTACGGAGTTGCAGTTGCTTGTCAACAAACTCCGCTATAAATGAGAAGACAATTCGTTGCAACGCCGGCTAGCGCCAAGTCTAGTGCATGCAAAATCCCACGCGTCACATCTCCAAACTAATGAAGTTTTCCGATCTCAATAACCTCTATCAAAGTATTGAACTCTACTTGAACTTTAGCCCTATGACTATGTTCTGAAAAAACTGAAGAAATTGTGCAAAAATTTACACCACAGAAGTACACGTAAATAAGAAAGCCGAACCCAGAGATAAAAACGAATTTTAAAATCCCTGCTGGAAATGTCGTCGAAGAATCTATCCAGCTATGGTCTTCCACTGTAAAAAGAATTTATCAAACAAGAATAGATCCTAAAAGCGAGGGCACAAAAGAATCTAGTTAAGAAAGTTCGCTTGATGTAGAAGACAACAAATTAATTCAGATGGATAACTAATTGAGAAAACCACATCTTACGTATATTTGGGTCGCGCCATGAATATAGAGAAGAAGAAACGATGTTTGAAGGACTCAGCAAGCGATAACGAGCAGTGCAGGTCTCCTTCGAACTTCTGAAAGAGGCCATTGGTATACCTGCAGATCCCGCCATACGTGCTAACTCATTTGTCTCTATACTTCATATAACTCTCTACTATGCAGCAAAGACATGCGGTAATACCTTAGCTAAGTCGAAGTCTAAGCCCAATCCCTGAGAAATGCGCCATGCGTCCTCGACCTGATCAAGTATCGTTAGTGGTGATTGAATGCACATGTGGCCTACACAGTGACTAGGGTGGCCTGCCAATGTATCCACTCAGTGCTGCTATCCTTCCAGAAAGGTCTGGTACTAATTTCGATAAACTAGAACACTCAACACCAGGTCAGTTTTCATAGTTCAGATTTTCGAGTCCCAAGGAAACACATCTAAGCAGATAAATATAGACCACCCGATCACATAATTGGAAAAAAAGCCACAAGACAGTAAGAGGATTAGAATGAACTCTAGGAGATCCAAAACGACCTAGAGGAATACATCGACGAAGGTGAGTCCAAACCATTTAGCACCCGTTGCACGAGAATGCCACCATCTCCACGACTTCACTAGTTGAAAGAACTATTACAATTTACAAATATTACCCGGAAATAACTCCCTAGAACCAATCCCCTTGACGATTGCTGATGGCGCTGATCGTTAGAACTAGCTAAGAGACACGCGGAACGAAGGAGCTGCATGATGTGGTGGTGAGCGCGTTAGCACCCAGAAAGGGTAAGAGCGCGTTCGTTCTTCACCGCAGACACATGCAGTCAGGAGTTTTGCAAATACCTCAGCATTATTGTGGTTGCTTTACAAATAATAGTTAATAATGTACCAAATCTCTCACTGTAATACAATGAAACTATGATTCTCCGGATTCCATGAATCTTTTCTCGCTTTCTTCATCAAGGCCTCCATCACAAGCACCGAAACGACGGCATAGGTGGGATCTTAGCAACATGATGTCGTGGTGTCTCCAAATGCATTCGTTAATGCCGGGAGCCGCCGTGCTTGCCATAAAAATTTCGTTTCTCATTGCATTAATAATCTTCCAGTTTGATTTTTAAGTGATCCAAATAAACATACATACCATAAGTTCCTGTTAAGTCCCGGTGAACATCATCTATCACACGGACGATGGCCTGTACATCCAAGTGGTGGGTATTTTAAATAAAAAGCGCTTAATTTCAAAGAGTTCTGAAAAATCTGTCTTCATAGAAAATTTTCTATTAATTAACCTTATTTAACACATTACTACGAAAAATCTGGGTATCTAGATATACGAGAAATTTCGACGATGGAGCTCTCCACCTGCTTAACGGAAACCAACACACAAGAACCTTCCCTTCCCTGAAGACAAAAAGTCTCCAAAGTATAAAATAAGAACTAGCGGTTTTCATATGAAACCTTAATCTAAAGTTCATAATTCAAACAACCAGTCACTACAAACTGACTCATCGAACTGATAGGACGTGGAGATTTAAGATGTGCAATTAGTACTACTGCACTGTTTATGCAGCAATTGGAGTCATATCAAAAAGTAGGAAACATGCTCTTAGACAAAAACCACCTCTCGGAAGTAGACAAGTATTGCTGTGAATTTATTCCAGCAGTAATATTATTTACAAAAAAATCAGGAAAACATAGCCAGTTCCAGGCGTATGAGATCGATGAAAGACATGAAATGAGATGAGGCAGAATCCGTACTTTCACCTCCACATGGAGCATAATCACACAGTTCATAATTTTATGCCTTAAGCGAAGACCACTTAAGGTTATCATTTTTATGAGAGTGATCTTACATGGCACGGCAGGTGGTCAAATTTAACACTGAAGAATATTACAAAAATTACGTTACAACCGGTGTATAGAAATGCATGAAATATAATAATACCTTAATATCACAAGATGAAACATAAGACAAATATAAAGTTGTCTAACATATGGAATACTTTAGAAACATAATTATATCAACCACCAAATGGCCAGTAATTTCTTGAAAAAATAGGAAGAATAATAAACGAAACCTTTTATAATAACAGATGTATGAGATCTCTGGGAATACGACTACAAATAACGCATGACACCTGGTGCCATAACGATTTTGCCGGAGTGACCGCTGTGACATCGATAGGCGTCACAGTGAGCACATCGAAAAATTAGGTATCGTCTATTCTGCAAAAAAAACGAAGTTATGCGTAGTCGAGAGAGTGCTAGGAACAGTCACTCATCCTTTGGAAGATAGGCCAGAGGATCACCATCGAACCACTAAACAACCAGGTTTTCGCTACAAACAATGTCAAAAGCAATAACAGTACTTACCTGAATTAAAGAAGCACTGGGATTCGTTCGATGTTCAGCTCGAATCACGCCTTCATCAAGAAGAGCCATCTCCTTGCGTGCTGCCTCCAGATAGGCGCTACCATCCATGCCATGTGAGACTAATAATCCTTAAATACGTGCATTAATAAAAAAGTGTTAGAAGCAATCTATACAAACAACAACCAAACTGGCAATAGTGTTGTTGCTCCAGCAATGTAATGAATGATCATGTCCCTTTTTACTCCAATCAAGGGTGGGAAGAATTATTCTTTCTATTGCCTGGAATTTCAATAGAAATTGCAAAAATTAACGTCAACATATGCAGTCAAAGAAACTTCATATACAAGTCTAAGCTTTAAAAAACGCAGTGCTTTTTCCTTACGCCTCTAATTTCGGCAATACCTCAGCTTCAACCGGTTGAACGATCGAAAATAGCAATATAGACAAGCCGTAGAGTCGAAACAAGTCCTCTGCCTTCGCCGTTTCCATACATTCTGCTATTAAAGTTCTGAAGACATTGACCAAATTCTCTACGCTTGTCTGTTGAAACTTGACTGAGCAAAACTATGCGAAATCGTACAGCCTTTTCGTCAAAAACTAGGGTTAGTTAACTAACCTGCATTCATGTACCTTGTTAAGCAGATAAGCATGAAAAGCATGCAGAAACTGCGCATTGTTTCTAACAATCAGCGAGCAGTTAGCTATCCGATTCGGTGTCAATCTTAAATTCCAGGAAGTACTAAGCTAATATTATAAAAGGAATGTAACGAAAACTTAAAGGAAAACATACTGATCTGCAATTTCGTAGAATTCTGCGTGTTTACACTGAGCAAGATATGTTATAGCAAGATTTACATGTGTCATTACCCATATATTTTTATCCTTGCACGATTTAAACTGAAAAAAATCGAAATAAAAGTGAAACAACAGAAGAACGTTGACTACGTTTTAAGAGAATGACGAACGAGTGACAAAAAAAACCATAAAATAACATGAAACTGCTAGGAAGAAAGAAAATTTCAAATAGTGAAAAATTCGAAACACGTACCTTCGTTGCTGCAAGAAAATGTTTCTCTGCAGCTTCTGGCTCACGGAGATAAGAACAATAATGGCCCTGCGAATAGCAATTAAATCTGGTTAGCAAAACTACAACTGATAAAACAGGAGAGTTCATACCAGCAGTGACTGAATCGCAGGTCCGAACTCATCGAATAAAGCCATTCCATATCGCTGGCTATACTGCACCATATCGCGGATCTGGAAAACAGCTCTCACTTTGTAAATTACAGAATCAGCATCCAGTAGTTACCTAACATACGGTTTGATCATTTGATTTCAACATGGGGTAATTCGTTTTAAAAAATTCAACTTTTAGCAGTTCAAACAAACATATTACAGGAACTACATTCATGCAAATCTATAGAACGATATAGCTTTTCTTCAACACATCTACCAAATCCTCCAGAATGGTAAATTATGCGCTGTTCCACGAGGCTTCCAAAAGAAACAAGGTGTTGTGTCGCATGTGTTAAACTGTAATTACAGACATTATCTACTGCCATGCTCGGATGACACGCCATGATGTTGCATTGAGCCATCATCTCGTTCAGCGCCATTCGCATTCGTTGCACACTTCGCAGGACACCGTACTCACACGGATTTCTTGAAGCCTAGAGACAATTTTCGTTTGGCCATAGTGAAGGACTGGAAATGATAGTTCACTAACCCTTGCGTTATAGTCATGTATGTGACGCACGGCGATTGTGTAATATTTTGCTGC